GGACCCTCTGGAGAAGACGTTGCATACATGTTATGGATGGAGTCCTCATAACTGGGGAAGAGTCAACAGATATGATAAGGCAATATATCCAACAAGAAATCACGATACACTGGCAAAGAACGAAAACCCAACTTGACCTATACCTTTCTGTAAAGGACATCGCACAAGCAATTCGTCAATTTTCTGGGGATTGGCTGGGCAGCGAGAATGGGGGCTGGATCGCATCTCTCAAGTGGGAGGGTAAGCCCTCCTCAGAGGACAACCAGGTGGAATTCTGAAGGGACTACTGCATCTGCTTCAGGGACTGGACTACTGTGGGGCAGGAGATCCCACTGCGACCGGCCACCGAATTCCCGGACCCTTTCCCACCCCACCGGCTGGCGATGGTGGACATGCAATGGTATGGAGCAGAATGAGCGGGCGACACAGGGTGGATATGGAGAGGACGGGTATCTAGAGGACGGGCATCACGAGGAACATAAAGTGACTGCTAAAGGAAACACGCAAGATCTGGCGGTCTGGTGCAGACTGAAGAGGCAGTCTTCTGCTCCCCCCTTTTTCAGATGGAAGTTATCCTCAGACCCGGTCCGCAACACAGGAAGTGCACCTGCACAGTCAATCCCCGGGCTTCCGGGCAATCAATGCTGGCAGGTGCACACAGACAAAGGTAGATCTCAGATGGGCAGTCAATCCCCTCGCCGGAGGGTAATCAATGCTGCCAGCCTACAACAATCTGTATGTTCTGATGATCATCAAGATGTTCAGGGACGCTGGACCCGATTTCCAGCAGGTGCCGCTCCCCACCAATAGATGGAGCCTCCCTGGGGGTACTAGCGGTGTCTGCTCTTACCAGCACCCCTAGTACCACCTCGGCTGTTCAAAACAAAAAACAAAACAAAAAACAAAAACAAAAAAAGGACTGTTTAGAACTTTTTGCTGTTCATTTTTGGGACGCAGCGTTTGGAGAAGCCGAGCAAGTTGGCGGTGACAATTGTCTGCAGGCGGCATCCTGAGACCCTTGCCTAGGACGGGGGCCATAGCTGGCCCTTCTGAAGGTTGCCGGAGTTGGGGCACCCTCAGCGCATCTACCCTGGGGGTATCTGCGTTTGGCCAGGCTGTGCTGAGGCTCTTCACTGAGTGTTTGTGGGTGGCGGCAGCCATAGCTGCCTGTTTCTTTGTCAGAGTTGTCCATCGGCACTGAAGACTCCATCGCAGGATCTGTTCTTCATCTGGGTGGTTGGCGCTGGCCTTTGGGAGGCTGTTTTGGTTGTGCGCTTCTAACTGGGTGTAGGGTAGAGAGTGGAGTGTGGGGTTCTGAGTGTGGCGAGATACTGGAACAAACTCTGTGACGATATTTGGTTTAATTGGCTCATCATCAGTGTGATTCCGATTGTTATCCTCGCAGGTTCTTCTTGTGATTGNAAAAAAAAACAAAAAAAAAAAACAAAAAAAAAAAACAAGGAGAATATGGCAACCTCCGAATATGCCTAACGAACTGTTGGTAGGCTTCGCAAGATTTCGATTTTCAAAAAAAAATTTGCGGGATAGAATGGAAATTCAATTTTCAGAAAAGAATAATTCCGGTTTCCGAGAATATGACCACTTCTATCGTTATCCCACTATGCCTAAAAAACGAAATACTAACATCAGAAAATTTCAGCTATGTATGCGAAATATCAGAGAAACGAAATGCTACTATCAGGAATTTTCAGACAAAACGAAATGCGATTTATCAGAAATTTTCAGATATTTGTTACGTGAAAACGAAATACCAATATCAGAAATTTTCAGGTAAAACGAAATGCGAATATCAGAAATTTTCAGATAGTTGTTGCGAGAAAAAAAAAAAATTCAGAGATTTGATGAAGTCCTTCTTGATTTACTGATGAGTAATCAATAGATCAAGCAAGCTGGCTACTTGATTGAGCGGGTCCTCTGAATGAGAGGTCCGCTCCGATACCAAACTGTTGCATACTGTAACGGTGCAGACCAGAACAAGAACCAACCTCTCAATACGAAGTACAAGATAGCATAGCGGAAGACTTACCAATGATCCGAACAATCAATATTGCAATGCAGCCCTTAACACACATCATCATCATCGTTCCATGGTGTGAAAGGGGTCTGGCGCTTCACACAGGAAGACTGCGCCAGCCCCAACCATACACAGACGAAGAAGAAGGGGGTTAGACGAAGAGGAGGGGAAGATGGGAATGTCGTCAACACCAAGTCTTCGGCACAGGCCCAAATAGTCCCTCGTCAAACTGTCTGAATCCCAAATGTCGAGTCTGGATCCAATGTCATCAAGTCCCAAGTCACAACTCTCTCTCTCTCTGTAGTAGTCCGCTGATACTGAGAAGTCAGGTGGTGAGAGGGGAAGAAGAGATGGTGGACATAGAAGAGGAAGAAGAAGAACTCTCTCTCTCTCTCTCTCTCTCTCTCTCTCTCTCTCTCTCTCTCTCTCTGTGTCCAGTACTAACCTGTGAAGATGGCGCCTTGATGCAGGTACCTCGAAGATGGAGCTGGAGCTATGGCGCCACAGGTAAGTCTCGCTGGCCTCCGCCAGCCATCTCTCTCCCACACTACCACTACCGCCTACTAGCGCCCAGCGCTGAAGACTACGGCTATGGCTACTAGCGCCCAGCGCTGAAGACTACTGCTAGCGCTAAGCTACTCCTGGCAGCGCTCCTTCTGAGTGCTGCGCTGAATCCTGAAGACTACTCGTCCTACTGCCCAACTACCTACCTGGGAAGTGCATGGGAAACCCCTATGTACTACTCGGCCTGGACTGGCTGCAGGCGAGGCAGCAGTCCAGGGGGCTGCTCTTGCCAATGCCAGAGGCAGTCAGGGGCTGCCGCTGCAGCTCCTGCTCAAGGCAGTCGTGGGAACAGGCTAAAGATAGCCTGTTCCGAAAACCCTGTTTTTGTGCCTGAGTCTTAAGGTCGGTCGAAACAATGAGGGCCTGAAAATGGCCCTCCGTTTCAGGCTGAAAAGCCTCTGGGCCTGAAAGGCCCAGAAATAGGCTGAAAACGGAATAGGGCCTGCAGGCCCTCGTTTTTCAGTTTCAGGCCGAAACGACCGGGGCCTGTAAGCCCTATTTTCTAGGCTTTTAGGCTGAAAGTGCGGGACGGGCCCTGCAGGGCCCGTGTGGCTACGCAGTATGCCACAACAGTCTCCACCGTTTGGCCATATCCCCTCTACCTGTTAATTAAAAAACGAAAGAGGAATGCTAAGTCCTTCGGGACAACCGTTAAAATTGGAACGATACAGAGAAGATTAGCATGGCCCCTGCGCAAGGATGACACGCATAAATTGAGAAAAAAAAAGAAAAAAAAAAAGAAAAAGAGGAATGCTACTAGGTACATTGAACTACATTCTGATCTTGGGCACAAGTCACTGATACTGATCTATTATTATTTCATAATTTATATGTCCGTCGGACAATTCTGATGTTGGACACGAGTGAAACGGTTTTCACCTTTTAGCAGTAGCAGCTGCAGTACCCAGGGCTCGATCCCTGGACCTCACCCTACCCATGTACAGTATCTGTGTAGAACGCGAGAGTTGAACCTGTGACCTGTGTATCCGTAGACAGTTGGTAGGTCTGTCGTAGGTCCATAGGCAGCAGGGGTTCGATCTGTAGATCTATAGAGTAGAAGTCTTAGCAAGTTCCAGAAGTCTAGCTGTAGTCCTTCTAGAAGGTAGGCAAGTGGGCAAGTGGTCAAGTGGCGAGGCAAGTGGTGGACTAAACTACAGTGCAATCGCAGTACAACCTCGGTAGGATAGCCGTGAGTCCACAGTCAGTCAGCGGTAAGGTCCAGTCAGTCCCAGTCCGGTCCAGCAAGTACCACGGGGGATTGTGAGCACCATGGGCCGATGGCAAAGGGCAGACCAACGAGTTTCCGAAGTATAAATCAAGAGGCAGCGCCCAGCCTTTCATTCATTCCTGCGTGAGCCATGCGGAAGCGCTGCCACAGCAACTTGTGCAAGGAGGTCTGCAGTGAGCCCTGAGGACGCAGTGGGCGAGAGAGAAGGAGCTTAGTGTAGCGATAGGGTAGAGGCAGCCATAGCTGCCATAGCTGTAGCTAGTGTGAAGAGTGTGTGTGTATGTGAGTGTTCTGAGTGACGCGTGTGGGATATCCAGTGTGATCCAGTGCGTGTGAACAGTGAGTTGTTTGGGCGCTGAGTCGCCATAGGGTCCCCATAGCCAGTTGAAAGTGAACTCTTATCTGGAAGCCATATCTCTGAGTTTTGATTGGCCTCATGTCGCCAGTTTTCTGCGTTGCTGTTTACATGCATGAAAAGTGTGAATGAGTACGAGTCTGATTGCACGAGTCACTGTGACTCATCTATTCCATGTTGGGTGCATTGTCGCGCGCTATGTGTTTATTATTGGTCTACACTTTGTCGAACTCTCCCTGATTCCTATTTGTGTCAGAAAGAAAGGGGTCTGGAATCTGGATAGAAATGAGGGCATATACTCACACGAGGACTTTCCAGAGGTATCTGACCAGAATTGCAGCGTAGCATGGATGTATCTGACACTCTACCATTAAGCTATTTCCACCATCAATCCACTTTGTGGTGCGCTGGCGGTGAGATGAGAGGCCGAAGGAAAGAAAATCAAATAAAAGAAAAGAAAACGCTCTTGCGAGTGCGGTTCGCCAGCAGAGCAGAGTGGGCCTAAGTAGATTTGAACCACTGACTTTACACTTATCAGGCGTATACTCTAACCAACTGAGTTATAGGCCCATACTTGGAAAGACTTCATAATTACGTCCAGAGCTCAGTCTTAAAATTCCACCTGTGAGTATGCTCTGACGGTCAAACGCAGAAATACCTCTGCTCTGTGACTTATTTGCCGCACCAATACTGCTGTCAGAATGCGGCCGGCATTACTTGCGGAATCTCCCAGCGAACCAAATTTTCCAAAAATAAAACGCTGTATATGTTTTGTGCACTGTGTGGTGTTGTGATCTTGGCCTTTTTGCAACCATCAGCTCCAGAGTTGAGCAAGGAGGAGAAAGTGGAGCAGGTGAAGGAGAAAGGCCGGAATGCACTGAAAGATGGTAAAGCAAGGCCTCGGAATCCAAATGACACCTTTGAGGGCATGGAGAAATGGGAGCCTATAGACGTATGGCGTAAATACGGTTTTGATTGGTCCATCCTCAGTGGCAATCAGCGAGATGATGGAGCTGGTGAAGACTCTAAGGATATGGAAACCAGCCTGCCAGGAGCAGTGCAGAGCCAGGCGGAGATGGACGGAGATGATGGTAGTAAAGAAGATGATGATAATAAGGTTGGTGTGGAAGACCTTGGCCGCCACGTCAGAGGAACGAAGGAAGAGGGAGGAGGAGGGCTACTGCATGTACAGGATTCAGGCTCAGGCATGCTGGTGGCTGGCGGTGAAGATGAGGATGTGGGGGCTGCCGAATTGCCGACAGAGGGGGAGAATTTAGGAGTGAGGCAAATATGGACCCTGACGAATCGAAGCGCCCAAACAACACTGCCGGTAAAGAGATTTATACTTTGAGTTCCTTACCTGGGCCCTTCTACCTTGATGTCGACTGCGCCTCCTTGGCATCTCCTCCTCCGCCCCACCACCCCCCCCCACACACCGTTTTTTTTTCCACCCATTGTGTACCGTCCTTGTGCAGGGGTGGTGCTAATTTTCTGTGTATGGTTCCCACTTTTTGTTTTGTTTTGTTTTTTTCCAACTTGTAGTGACGGAAGGCCTGGAGAAAAAAAAACATTTGCATCTTTGCCCGGGTTCTCAAATATTGGCCAATCCTGGAGTGTCAATGCGACGGCTCACTGCCCAGATTGGGCAACAGTCTTCCGCCAAACACAACGCACCCTCATTTTGACTGTATCAGACTAGAAAGTTACCCCGTATATGTTCATTATAGGGTGCGCTATGTTCGGGGCACGACAGTAGGCTGAACATAATTAGAGCTCCAACGAATTTTATTTTTTTTCAGGCACTGTCAAACAAGCACCATGGCATGCAGGCCCGAGTAGGCCCCTCTCCTGATGGGTAGGGAGGGGAAGGCGGTGGAAAGGTGGAGAGGAGGGAGACTACCACCTCCTAATGGGGGGCAAGAGCTGAAGAGAGGGGGAGAGGAGGGAGGGTTCCGGCTCCCGAGTGGGAGGGGAAGACGGAGGAAAGAAGGAGAGGATGGAGGGTTCTACCTCCTGATGAGTCGTTGAAAGTCCCATGAAATGCTTCTTTTTTTCGTTTTTTTTTTCTTCTTCAAGCGGTTCCAGCACAGCCAGCCTAGGGGTGACTGGTCATCATAACTCCCTAACACCCTTCCCTATACACGCACAACTCCTTAGGGACTTCCATCCCAACATGGTGAACCTCAGACCCCTGTCCAGTGCAGTCGGTCAAGAATTCCCCCCTCGAGGCAGGAGATGGACTCCGCATATCCAGTCCCTCGAGTGCAACCCCCCCCCCCCCCCCCCCCCCCCCCCCCCCCCTGACACTCGCAAGGACCCTTCGCTCAATGAACAGTGGCCTCTAAATCCAGTTGACCACCTTCACCTTAGTCTTAGGGGTCTATCGTCTTTGGCTCAGTGACCCGAGTGGCATCTATACATCTATTTAGTCTCTCCAAGTGGGGCTACCTTTGATGCTATACCATGAAGCCCAACACCCCCCTCTCTTAGTACTGTGCTAATCGCAAGGACCAGATCTTCCTAAGGGAGAGAGGGGTGGCCATACCGGTTCAGTGCCTCAGTTGAGAACATTCAAATGCCTCCGTAAGGGTCTTTCTACCGCCCCCGTAAGGGTGTTTCACAACAACGGGTTCCTGCCCACCCGTACCCATGCATACAGGTACACCGTACGACCCACACACGCTAAGTCATTTTTAGCTCTTGTCCACTACTGGCAGGCCGCAGATCCAGCAATAACTCCCTCAGCATCAACATGAAGTCCCAAAATCCCCCCTAGGTGGATCACTACTCAATGGAAGGTCCCTAAGCCCCCCCGCCTCAAGACGCGTTCGCCCACCTAGCCTATCATCCATTGAAATTATCTTCACTACAGAGTGCCAAAGACGACCCTGAACGTCCCATGCTGGCACGACATAGGCCCAAATCCCGACACCCCGACACATAGCCACCCCTGTGTGTGAATGCTATGTCGGTCAACGCCCTGTGTCCATGCGCAAAATTGCAGGCTCAAAGATTCAAACCCACCACAATGCACATTTGTCACCAGTGCTCCACTAACTGAGCCACTTTTTGTCCTTTTTTCTCTTTCTGCCTACGAGTCACCCGACAGTTTTTCTACGGCCGCTGACTTCGTGGTGACAACCATTGGCAGAAAGGGAGAGAGGACGAAACGGGGAGCTGTGACAGCTCCCACCGATACAGAACGAGCAACCACAGAATTGGCACGAACAGAGTCAATGAATTAACTCCCCAAAAATGTTAAATCGATCTGATCACAGTCATCAGATATATGCATAAGATGGCCATGGAATTGGTGCAGAATAGCATTCACCCATTATCTGGAAAGAATTGCATCAGTTGATTCCGTTATACAATCCAAGCAGACTGAGCTGGTCCAAAGTAGGGCCCATAGATTTGACTTGAAAGGAACAGCAAGAGCAAAGCCCTAGCAACCAGCATCTGAACCATCATCACCTTCAGGATGCCATGGAAGCCTGAGTGCATAGCAAGGTTGAAATATCTCTGAGGAGAAGAGGACACAGAAGAAGGGGGAAAGGAAGGGAAAATGCAAGGATGAATCAGGTTGTGATGCTGTCCACTGTTAACGACAACAATAACAAGAAGAAGGGGGGGAGGAGGAAGAGGACGAAGAAGAGGGGGCGGAGGAGGAGGAGGAGGAGGAGGAGGAGAAGGAGGAGGAGGAGGAGGAGGAGGAGAAAAAGAAGAAGCAGGAGAACAAGAAAGATGACGAAGAAGCAGAAGACGGCGATGGCAAAGAAGAAGAAGAAGAAGAAGAAGAAGAAGAAGAAGAAGAAGAAGAAGAAGAAGAAGAAGAAGAAGAAGAAGAAAAGAAGAAGACAACGAAGAAGAAGAAGAAGAAGAAGAAGAAGAAGACGAAGAAGAAGACGGCAAAGAAGACGAAGGAGAAGAAGAAGAAGAAAAAGAAGGAGAAGAAGAAGAAGAAGAAAGAAGAAGAGGAAGAAGACGACGACGAAGAAGAAGAATTTGAATTTGAATTTGAAAAAGAAGAAGAAAACGAAGAAGGGGGGCTTCCAAATCCCCCGAAGGCAAAGGACGGAATCATAAAATTAACAAGCTATAATTCAGGTCTGATACTGTCATTATGAGGGTACATTGTGCTCTGCGAAAAAGAGTCGGTTGTAGGGCATTGCCGATTGAAGTGGGGAGAGGGAAGCAGAAGGGGAAAGAAGAAGGGAAGGAAAAGAACAAGAGCTCATAAGTAAGAATGCAGAGGTCTCAAATGCAGATTGCATAAACTCCTTTTCTTGGTGTGCAGATTGGTGGGGATGACATACGAGATACAGTGGATGTAGCCATGTTAAAGAAGGAGATGGTCAAACTGAGACAGCAGCTCCGATTCTGGCGAGCACGTAAATGGAAGGAGAGGCAAGAGAACAGGGTTCGGCTTCTCAAGGCCCGTCACGGTGAGTCTAGACATTCAATGTCTGCTGCATCCACGGTAATCATGACCCCACAAACTGTTGAAATGCCAGCTGCTCCTCCACCGAAGGGATTTAGCAGGAGCGGCTACCTCCACAATCAGCACATGATGGCGATGAGGAGTTCCAAGGAGTCTTCTAGAAACGTCTCTTCTCTCTCATCGATCAACTGGCGGGGAGAGGCACTTAATAGCCAAGACAGCACTGCGTCCATAGCCAGTGTGAAGAACATCATCCGCTCATTGCCGAGTCCAGCTGATTTGGAAAACATAATAGATATTAACGAGTCGGAGGAGTATTGGAACAGAATGTTTTCCAAGTGGGTAAGTCTTCCAACTACCCCTCCTGGAGCCTCACAGGCTAATAAGGCAGGCATCGCAACTGGTGGGGGACCACCTAATTTGACATCACTACCAAGGACAGCATGGAAGGTAAACCTAGGCGAACCATTCCAGTTCGAAGCCGCATTACCCACCAAATCAAAGTTTCAGGGTCGCGGTAACCGCGGTAGTTGGGGAGATAACTCTCAGTCTCCAAGGAGACTTAGTCTTCTTCCTGAGTATAATATGGGAGCAATGACGAATATGACAAAACAGAGGTCTGGACAGCAGCAGGCGCAGTCTGGCTTCGGTCGCCGCGGCTCTGCCTTGCGGATCCTGAGGGTGCCCCGCAGACCGGGATCGCGAGCGTGTCGATCAACCTTGCTCAGTGACTTGAATCTTGGTGGGGCACTTGCGTGGAAGTTTGCGCAGGCGGAGAAGGATGGCAAAAAGCCTCGTGCAAAAGATGGCTCTCTAGCTGCTGCGAATGCCCGTCAGTTGCCGAAGATCAATGGGTACCCTTACGATCCGACAAAGCAGGGTGCAGGCTCAGAAAACGATGGAACCCGAGAAACAAAAAGCGAAGGAAGTCAAGTGCAAGTACAAAATAGAAGGAGATCGACATACTGGCAGGCCAATCAAACAAATGGGTTGCAAGCTCACATCAAGTTATATCCTTTCGATATAGAACCAGACCAGACGCTGCATCGGAGGGGCACCTATCGCTCTGTTCTTCAGGAGAACCAGCCTGGTCCTACACAGTCGGGATCTCAGCTCCATGGATCTGTGAAAAGATGAGACAGGACAGAAAACTCGAGAAGGGATGGGGGATGCCCAAGACCGCGCAACCCGCAACAAAACTGTGGGTCTCGCTCCACTGCTCGGCTTTTTGCATGTATGAGGACTGTGGGTTAGACCCGATACATTCAGGCTGATTCACGTATTGGATGTATCAGGACAGCTGCACACTCCAAATACATTTAGAATGTTGTGGTGTGCCGCAAGGCCCTGTATTGCTGTCTACAGAGATGCGGAAAGAAAGCCCACCGCCAACACAAGGCAGTTTGTACGCACTGCCAGATATCCAGCAGGGAATACGAGGAGGAGAGTATTGAAATGTGAGATTACTCAGATTGGTAGGTTTTGACGAACAAGGCATAGCACACCACAAACCATGCCTAAATAGCCGAACACAGGTTTTCTGGAGAAGGCAGGAGAGGAATATTTCCTTTCAGGGCATGGGTTCTTTGCAATAGGCCATTCCCAGTTCTATACCTCCCCCTTTATAGCTGTCTCATCACACAATGTATCCATTGAATTTCTTCTGAACTCTGTGTCCTGATGGTGACTACATACCCAACTCCACCCGTATGTCGCAACCCTTGATTCTCTCCTTTTCCCTATCCACATCATTTGTCTGCCTGTATTTCTTTTTTTTTCTTTTTTGGTCTGTCTGTCGTTGTCGGTCCTGGCGACTCTTTCTGAAGGAGGAGGAGAAAATGAGGGGGCAAGGAGGGAGTAAAGAAGGCTCGGGGAATTGACAGAGTATTGGGCTAATTGCATAGGGTTCTGCTTTGACCAGGGCCGCCTAGCCCATTCGCTTGAGAGACTTGACACTTTTTCTGAAGTTTGCTACGTTTCTTGACCCTGAACTGGTTGAGAAGTGGCACAACTGATTACTACTGTCTTCGCCCGAGTAGAACGCCTGGTCGTTATAGCTGTATTTGAGGCAACTTTCAGTCTATATACAGTGATGGTAGTCAAGTTTGCAAGGTTTCTTGACCTTGAACCGGTCGAGAAGTGGCATAACTGTTAACTACCGTCGTCACCCCAATAGAACACCTGGCCATTATAGCTGTATCCGAGGCAACTTTCAGTCTTTATATGGCGATGGTAGTCAACAGTTGCGCATCTGTATCATTCAGCCACAGGACAGGGCACACTATCAGGAATTTTTTCTTTTCATGTTGTATTTAGTTTCTTTTGAGTAAGCTACTAAGCCTACACTTCTTTTTTGTTTTTGGCTGACCATTCTTTTGAGTAAGCCTACACTTTTTTTTCTGGTTTTTGGTTTACAAAGGATTGGAAAAGGGCACACAAGTGAACGAATGGCTACACATTAGACGAAAAATCAATGACCCAAATAGCTCGGAATTATGTACAGTCTGCTCTGAAGGTTTGGTAGAAGACCTAGTACACTGCCTAGTGTTCTGCAAAGAAG